CCGACGAGGCCCCATCGATAACTGATTTTAATAGATATAGGAAGATGTGGTATGAGTGCCAATGAGACAACTCTCCATCCAAGTTACAATTTATAAAAGTAAACCATTATAGGTCAAGGTAAGGCCTTCAACACGGAGCATTAAGTCTATTAACTTATATTCCATTATGTGAACATGTTAATCTCCTATTTTATTGATTTTGTATTTACATTGTATCATAGATCAAATTTATTCGTTCAGTGTATGTTCACTTGTGTTATTATGTCTTTTGATTGAGTTAAGCTATTTCAATTGATATTTTATACATGTAGCTTTGATGTTACACTATTGTTTCAGATAAGGGTGAAGGTTTGGTACCATTAAAACGTTTAAACTCGCTGCAATTGTTTGCAACTGTCCTAGGTCAAGAATCTGATGTTCAGTAGTTGTCGTTTGTTGATGTGGTTCATAAGTGTTTCTCGTTTTCTCGTTTTTTATATAGATTAGACCGTTGGTTTTCCCGTTTGAATAGTTTTACACTAGTAATTTTTGGGGCCCTTTATAGCTTGCTGTGCGGTGTGAGCCAAGGCTCCGTGTTGAAGACCGTACTTTGACCTATAATGGTTTGCTTTTATAAATTGTGACTTAGATGGAGAGTTGTCTCATTGGCACTCATACCACATCTTCTTATATCTATGTACAATTGGTTGTTCGAACATTGTCAGATGTAATTTCTAATTTCTCGTCCAAGTATACTTAATCTTATGCTATTACAATGTATTTAATCTAGCAATTATGAAGTAGCTTGGAAGAATAAATCAGACAGTTTAAGCTATTCTTACTCTTGAATCGTCTGAGTTCTGTTGATTGATCAACGGAATTGAAACATTGATAATAATCGAAAGTCGTACTCGAAAAGACTGGGCAGTATTTCCGTTTCAAGACGTTACAAAACACTGAATATCATTTAAACTTTTTTATGATAAAAGTTAAAAAATATGATACAAATGTGTTTATGCATAACGATACGTTCAAAGGCGTAAGAAAATTGAAACTGGAAGTGAATGTTCCGTATTCGCAATATTTACTCTTGATTTATATCGACAGGGCAACGTCATCGGTATTGGACATGCTGATTTATCCGTATTAAGGCTGATTTGCTCATATCATTAAATAAACATAAATATAGATATAAATAGATAGCTACACGTACATTGGATTTTTAATACGGATACAATGAATTCGAAAAATTCCCCTGCAAGGGGATAATTCATCGGCGAAGTTTCTTAGCTTATTTTGATAAAATTGAACCAAATGCTTGTTAAAAGTGAATTATTATTTCACAATTTCACTCACTTTCCTTAATGATTGAACAAAACAAGAATCATATTTTCATTTTGTTATTTCTTGTAGCTAATACCCCTTTACATGTAACTATCACCATATGGTATTTTCAAATAAAAATTCTTTGACTAATGATATGTAATGGATGCAATCTTGTAAATTACTAGTAACATAAAAATAATCAATTATTTTATCAATTCTTTGTCCTTCAATTGTTTTCACTCTAAACAGAAAAACAATATTCATAAGTATAGGTTATTTACAATTCACCACTACAATACCACAGTTTATCACTAGTTGTGCTAATCTTACCCAAAAGGAAATAATGGGTAATATTATAATCGAGCAAAATAAGCATTTTCGAATTGTTTAGAAATCCAGATGTGTTCGCTTTACAAATATATATAGATGTCTGCATTCTATGATATAAATTGTTAATTGTAATAAAATGTTTCACCGATATTCCGTATATCTGTAACATATAACTGAATATATTTTATCATTGAGGCCTATTACGTGAAAATCAGCCGACACACTAATATTAGATTTGCCGTGTATCAATAAGGGATCTCGGTCAATCGGGTAATAGTACGAAAGAAAAAAAAAGCGTAAATATTTCCGGTTGAAAATTTTAAACCCATGATATAATTGTTTGTGTATTGATGGATTATACAATTTTTTACTAATGTGTGATGTTAATTTTGTAACTTGAGATGACAACGTAAACATTCAAGTTATGCTTCGTACTAAAACAAATAAACTTGTCTTGTAAGAAGGTAAATACCCTTTTAAGATCTTGTCTATTTTCTAATTTTCGCTAAATGGACAAAAATTTTCTTTCAAGGGCAATATAACTATTATATGCGGTGAAATGACGATTTTGGTCATATTGACTTATTTGTCATTTCAGGGCCTTTTATAGATGACAATGCGTTATGGGCTTTGCTCATTGTTGAAGGCCGTACGGTGACCTATAGTTGTTAATTTCTGTGTCATTTGGTCTCTTGTGGAGAGTTGTCTCATTGGCAATCATATAACATCTTCTTTTTTATATCATTTGTAGATATTATTGTTTTGATAATTTTTACTATTAAGGAGTTTGGAAATTCGTAAATGAGTCTTATTTACTTTTTTTCCATAGAATTGTAAGTGTGGTCATCTTTTTTCTGCATTTTCTACCTTACAACCGTTGTTGTAAACATAATCTGAACAAACTGATGGAGAATTAAAATTTAAGACAATAATATTATATTGTCAGCTTCACTGAATTCTCGGATTCCTAGTTTATTGGTATCCTTTAAATGCCGATATCTCTATTTTTTTCACTATTTTCACATTTCCCAACTGATTGTGAAAAATTGTTCTCCTCACTAGTGTAATATCTGTTCTCGGCAAAGATTGGTCGAAATTTATTTTTGGCGTCAAATTTTCTTGGTTTCTTTTGAATTTCCTATTGTGACGTCATGAAAAAGGCGATCATGCCTGATGACGTCACACACAAAGAACACAACTTTCTGCAAATCTTTAAAAAGGAAGGATAAAAATCATAAGAGAAACAGATTCCACCATTTTAACTCGTGTATTACGATATTTCTCCACTCTCAACAGTTAAATTTTAATTATTTAAAAAGCTCGGCAAGCCTCGCGCTTTAAATATTAAAATTTCACTGTCTCGAATGTAGAAGTATCGTAACACACTAGTTGCAGTGTTGGAATCTATATTTCTATATCTCTGTTCTCTCATTTTGCTGTCTATCACATCTTCCACGACCTCTATCTCTGCCTTTTCCTATTCCTCTTTGACATCAATTAGCCTAAACGGTATCATTTCTGTTTGTAAATTACCTTGATAAAACTGATATTAAAATAAAAAAGAAATCATTTATTGAAAATTCACTTTGGAAACTTAACGTATATACTATTTTCCTTTTTTGCTGTATCGGATACCCAAAAAACAAACAAAATAAATGTCCTTACAAAACAACGGTATATTTTTACACACTCTAAAGGCGGTGTGAATCAGACGACTCCAAAATCTGTAGAGAAGATATATCTAAGCCTCTTTCCTCGTGTAATCATATATTCTTAAAAGAAAAACGTCTTTTACAACCTTTACAGAAGTATTCCTAACTATAAACGTACAGACAAATTAAAAAGAAATCTAACTTTGCTTCATAAAGAATGACCAGACTATATTGTGCAATTATAGCCTTTGTATGAGGTCGATACAAGGATGTATTGACCTGAAAGAAGTATATGGACTGAGGACGAAGTAAAGACTTGTAAAAAAGAAGGTCGCCACATACATATTGTTATAGACATACCGATCTTCTAATGCAGACCCACCCCATACTGGTTTATCTTTGTAATCCTTAATTTTCTTGTCGTCTTATTTTATTTACTAAAATATTTAATTGACCTCTAAATAAATTCTAGTATACAAATATTTAAATTTACTTTTCTTCTGGGTATACAAAAACATTATAATTTGATAAAGCTGCTTCATGTCCAGCGGCATATATTACAATCATTTCCAGATAAGTATTTGTATGACAAGGGAAAATTGCGGTAGTCAATTCGAAATTAAAATTCTTGTAAATATATTGTTGTTTAACAAGCAAATGATCTGAAGGAAACTTCTGAAATAAACAATAATTGACTTATTGATTTTTGGTGTTTAACGCCACTTTCGGTACTATTGGCTATTTCATGGCGGCCAGTTTGTATTTTTGGAGGAAGCTGGAGTGCCCGGGAGAATCATCTGTTCTAAGGCAGGAAAACTGGTCATCATAGTCAATAAGTACCGGAGTAAAACGCATCTGCCACCTGCTGGGTTCGAACTCTGAAGTAAGCAATGCAGCAAAAACTTCACTAAGGAAAGTTCTGTTTTTCACTGTATACAGTTTTCGTTCGATATATAGTTTTCTTTTCCATTATATAATTTAATTTTGGATGTAACAAGTCTTCTGATTGGCTGAAAGTGTTTTGTTTATCAGCTCAAAGACATAATTTTGTCATGTGACAGTGACGTCACCAACGTTTTTTTTTTCAAAATTTACTCCTTAAAAATGGAACATAGAATTGAATTATAAGGAATGACTATAATATTTTTTCTGTCTTTTCGAAATAACTTAAAAAATGTGGTGCACACTTTTAAATTAGACGCTACGCGGGTTATTCAGTGTGCACCACATATTTTATGTTATTTCTTCATAGACAGAAATAATATTAAAGTCATTCCTTAAATAAATTGAAGATAACAGGAGCTATTTCAAAGAATCGAGAAAAAAAAAATAGCAGCAACAGCCAAGTGCATTGTTCATCATACATACTTTAAAAAACTATAACTTCACAAGATTTCGGTTTTTATCTAAAGATCGTGTTTTGTTGGTTTTAATGATCGTAAGTGAGTTTTTTATAATCTATTGAGTTTGGCCTTGAATATCTTATGGTGATTTTTAAAGCAGCAGTGGAATCGGTCTCATAAATCAACATTTTTCAAAATCACAATTTATATAGTGTAAATTGATTGATATATGTACGTCAATGATATCATTCTGTAAAATTGCATTTTATCACAAAATGTCGATGTATCATTTTTGGAGTTGATTTTTGTTCTTTTAGTTAACAGCGAATTTCAAATGTTTGAAAAGTAAATGTTGTATGTTCTTCAATGATATCAGTGCAAAACCCTTTTATTTAAAAGCACGCGAATAAACAAAAGCAATTTTACACACCTATAAAAACCAACTTTCGTTTTAATAATCTCCTTTTGATCAAATTCAGTGATACTTTTTAATGAGTAACTGAATCCGACTGCATTGATCTGGTACCTCTACAATCTGTTTCATCTTCAGCTTTCTTTTGAAGCAATCTGTTGAAAACACTTTTCACTTCGCGCCTAAATTTCGTGTCCAAAAATCCATATATGAAAGGATTGACAGCGTTGTTCAACAAAATTGAGAACACAAATGTATAATAAGCAAATCCTTCTGAAAATGTCATTTTACAGTTGAAGTCTTTTTGAATCCGAGTTGTAACAACAAGGCTGTAATGTGGAATAGCACTCAATAGAAAAGCTGCTGAAACAGCTAAAAGTGTAACAGTTGTTTTCTTAGTTTTTACGTTGACGCCGGTTTTTCCATGTTTATGTAGAAACCGTAAAATCTGTGCGTAGACGGCAAACAAAACAGGAACAACTAAGAAATTGAGGACGTACAGTAGAATATAATAAACACTTGGGTAAACAGTATTTTTGTAGTCGTCATCTGTCCAGCACCGAATTCCTTTAACCCCTGGAATTGCCGTATTGACTGTGTAAATCCCGTATAAAACCAAGCATGGCCATGCCGTCAAAAGTCCTAAAATTGTGGCAATAATACAACAAACTTTTGTATTCTCGTACGAAAGTTGCCATTTCAAAGGCCTACATACTTTTCTGTATCTATCAAAAGCTATCACTATTAAAATAAAGGCGGAACAGTTAGTTGTAAAGACCATGCTGAATCGACCGAATTTGCAGAGTACATACGATGGAAAAGTTAAGTAATGGCTCATGTAGTAAATCAGGAAAGGCATTCCGATACACGAGTTTGCAATGTCCATGATGGCCAGCCATATTGTATATGTCCTATAATTCGATACTTTGAATCTCTGAATGTAAATCCAAAGAACACCAAAGTTGCCGAATATCCCAATTATCATTAAAATTGTTGTAAAAATTATTCCTCCTATATGCCGCTCTGTGAACTGGTTGTTCAAATCTTCAAGTGTTGTAGAATTACCGACTTCAAGCCATGTAAAACACTGTTTTTCCGTTTTATTCATAATGGATATTTCTGTGGACGCTTTTCAAGAAGTATTTTACTAGTTAAAAACTTATACGTTTACGTTGTTAATGTTTATGATTTTATTACTTCCCCCTTCCTTATTCTTTGTTAGTTTCCTTACTTAGGTTGAAATTAAATAGACGCTTCGGAACAATAGACATATTCAATAAAACCATAAATCTTTTACCTAGTGAATAATATTCGTTTAAAATACATTTATAGATGTGATGTTTATGTTTACTTCCCAGTGTATTCCCATTTACATCTTCACGTCCTGTAAATTTATCAATATCTTTGGCAGTTCTGTGTTGACATGAATAATTGATTGATACGGTCATACTTATAGATTAACTGTTTACAAAACTTCGAAGTTCTAAAGAGTTTCTACCCCAGGAATAGATAACCTTGGCGGTATTTAGCAAAATCTTTCTGAATTTTGGTTTGTCAATTCTCTTCAATTTCGTTCTTTATTTGACCTTTTTTATTGTATGATTAGAGCGTCACTGATTAGTCTTTTGTAGACGAAACGCGCACCTTGCGTACAAAAGAACATGCATTTAAAAAAGATATCGTACAAAATAAAGTTGAATATCAAGGGACAATCAAAAGCCAAATATAGCAGATTTACTTACACTTGATTTAAGTACAGTGGCAAATATTTTGGTCATATTTAGGAGAGAACCGATAAAACAATTAATACAACAATTATTGATAAGGTTTGCGATGTGGCTGGATATGGAAGAAGGACGGGAAATTTGGACGGTCGCTGGAAAGTAAACGTGTTCTGGATAGGGACATATTTTGCAGCAACAAATATTTCGTGCATACTCAGAACGGGAATCAATGAAACAATTGATACAAGAATTATTTATAGGTTTTGTAATGTGGGTTGACATGGATGAAGGAATGAAGGATGGAAAATTCGAAAGATCGCTGGAAAATGAAGGGGTATTCTACTGGATAATGACAGATACTTTGGCTTCAGCTTTCACTTACAGGCCATCTACGGACCCAATTGTTGCAAGGATTCTATAACGTGCAAAGAGCGTGCTACTCGACATACACGAAGCCTCAAATTTAACATCCCTTTAGCGACCGGACGTACCTACATTGTATGTACATGAATTTATGCATTTCACACAATTCTAGACAAACGGACGCCCTACTTTAGTGAAGGTTTTACTTCAGACGGGAGACTTTATTGAAGGTTTAACTTCAAACGGGAGAAGTCCAGAAATTACCATTTTTGTATACTTTAGTCAATCAGTCGGTATAAAATATCGCAGAAATACTGACAAACCATACGTAACTGAAAAAAAGACGCTGAATTACACAACATAAATTAAGATTATCGATCACAAAATGTGATAAATCTATTGTAATTTATTTATATCTTTGTCGCTTGCAAACAAGGTAATCTCTCAATATTTTCTGGTTTTCTTTCTTTATGGCAATATTAAAAATTATGATATGCTGAATTGGTTGATTGATGGTGGTGCTACGACACAACGAGAGTATTTATTTGGATAGCAGATTCAAATTATGACACGGAATTGCGCGTTCCTATTGAAGGTACACCAAGATATGCGCTTCGGACACATTAATTACCCACAGTTTTTGGTGGGGTTCGTGTTGCTTAGACTTTAGTTTTCTATATTGTGTCATCTGTACTATTATTTGTCTGTTTGTCTTATTATTTTGGCCATGGCGTTGTCAGTTTGTTTTCGATCTATGAGTTTGAATGTCCCTCTGGTATCTTTCGTCCCTCTTTTAAGTATTTAGTGCTATTTTCATTTACCAGCATACCCATTAAGGGCTCACGCCGATATATGTTGTTTTGTTTCTATCAAAAGAGTGTATGTTAAGCTGTGTTCCACGGTGACGGTCATCTTTTCAAAATTTTCATTATGTTATTTATTCAATATTTGGTTACAATATTCAGGACTGTTTAAGAGAAGAAGCTGTTTGTATGGATTTCCAAAATTATTCTACGTTAAACGATGTTCCAAAAGGTTGTTTTGTTTTTGGATAAGCCGGCACTAACAATTCAAAATATAGATGTAATGAAATTGGCACTGATCATACTGTCATCAATAAACGGTGTGATAATGCTTTATAATGAAATCAAACCTGCACGGTCTCGTATGTTTAAGATCGAAATTATCGCACACATAAGGAAATAATTATTGACGGCAGATATTTGACCAATTAACGCAATGGAAACCATAAAATCATCAGTCTTTTAAATTTTGTTATTAAAGGTTGTTTACAATGAAAATTCAACCTCCAAGTAGCTTTTTGCAGAAAAAAAAACATAAATCTGTATTTTTATTTTGTATAGTAATAAATTTTATCACACAATTTGGTTATTTTACAAGTTATACTACTACGGGTACGCTTCCCCTTTAAAGACTAAAAAAGAAAAAAAAACGGAAATTTTCAAATTTGACAATGTTAATTTGTACATGAATATTCTTAAATGTACATTAAAGAAGGCAAATAATGTGATAATTCGACTATATACGGAAACATTGTTGATGAGATTTAATAAACAATGATTGTAACGTTAAAATTTCCCTCTTAATGTAGCAATCGATTAGGAGAGTAGTTTACATGTATAACATTTATTTGAAATGTTTTTTCAGAAATACATTCCTCGCGTCCAACCCAAATTTTACTTTTCTATTTGCTGTATCCGTCACTGGGAAAGGCTCATTAAATTAGCCGTTTATTTACGCATCTAGTCAAGAGAGATTCAGAAATAAAATTTCAAGAAAATTGATTGATATGCAGCAAAAATTAACGCTTTTGAATTTAAGTCACTAGGCAAATTCACTCGGACCTTATTCTGAAATAAACATGTAATGGGGGTATATCGGGAAGACTGCGCATGAATGAAAAAAAATCGAGACGACTTCATAAAATACTTTCAAAAATAGTTAAATCTTTTAACGGATAATCGCTCTTGTAAAACTATTATCCTTTACTTTTTTAACACCAAAAGACACAACTTTTAAATCGTTATATTCACACAAACACAATTATTTATATTGAATGTTCACGTAATTTGACACTAATTCTTCTTAGTTTAAACATCAAATTAAGGGATAAATCAACAAAATATCAATATAAATAATAAACATAATTCTGCATAAGGATACGTATGTTAACAAATTGTTGAGCAGATATTTAAAAACGTGCAATCTAGTTAGTAAATTGTGTTAAAAACTTTCCTCTTCGCTTTGGAACATTGATGATTTTTTAAAAATAAAACTTAGTGTGTAAAAAGTAAGAAGATACCAAGGAAGTAATATATTGTAGATCACAGATCAAACAACAAGAAGAAAAGTAAGCCTATCCCCCTACCCCTCCCCCCCCCCAAAAAAAAAATCAAACAGGAAAAAAAAAACAAAAAACAAAAAACAAAAAAGAAAGCGACAAAAACAGTTACTGACCATTAGACAGAAAACTTATTGTTGACAATCGAAGCCCATCGAAATTCAAGGTGGCTCCTGATCTAGAAATATTATCAGTTCCTGTGAAATCATCGGGACTTTTCAAGTTAAAATCCGATGAAAAATTTTATTTGTTGACCATATCTAAAAAGAAGTTGAAGTAAGTTTTATCGCTACTTCACACACAACATATAAAGGGTCATCTATACAACAACATGTGTGTTGGACCAAGTCAGATTATTTGGACCAGGGGATGAACAGAACAGCCTCAAACATAAAAAGAACAGCCACAAACACGACACCCTTAGCGTCGCTTCAGTTTTATAAAATGCTATGTGTGTCCTATTAGAGTCGAAATAATTTATGCAAGCCATAGATTTGTTGGAATTTTCACATGACCTGGTTCGTTATATTCGAATTTTATCGCGAGCGTTAGCGAGGGATAACATTAACGAGATTTCATGTAACGGCCAAGGCCATGTGAACATTCAAACAAATATATGGATTGCATGAATTATTTCTAAAATCTATTCTGTAGAAATGATTTAA